TCTTCCCCTCCCCGGAGGCTGCCTATCCAGTCCCATTATTCCAAATCAAGAGGAAAATCCATGGCTTTGAGGACCTGTTACTGCTTGTTTTATTTATTACACTGGAGTAGTCATTTTCCACACTTTTTCTGAAAACCAGCAGAAAAATCAAAGTATGAGCTGAAGTATGAGGTCAAAACAGTAAGCAAGGAGCAGCCTCTGCTGAAAGAAACTAAAGAAAAGCCTAATCAGAGGAAAAAAAAACCACAAAAACAAACAATTTAAGTGAGTCAAGTGGTCTACATATTTTAAAGATTGCTAAGTGGTTTACAATTTTATCTCTATTAGATTTTTTTTTTCTTATCAAATACTTGATAGACTTAGGGCTGAAATATACTGTCATGCGCTCAAAAAAAGCAAATACCACTGTACCTAATGGTTACAAATGCTGAAATGAATGATATTATAGTTTATTTTCAGCTAAAGAATCTACAGTAGAATTGGGAACTGGTATAAGTTTAGAGATGCCACTATTGTTTTGGAACAACCAGCAACATGGCTACTTCTACTTTATACAGCAGGTATTTTATAACTTTTTTTTTTTTTAACTGACATTCTGGTATAACCATTTATTTAGCTCAAACCCATACCCAGTTCAGTACTCCCAACTCAGTTAAAATGGTTTGGGTTTTGGTTTTTTTTTTTTTGCAAATGGAACATTTTTCTTCAAAGATGATGTAAGTTTGGTTCAGTAATGTCAATACACTGTACACAAGTAATTTTGCTGAGATGTATTCTATTTTTATGAAAGTGTATATATGTTTTTTTCCTATATGTATTTTCTATGCAGTATCTCAAAAGTGTTTTACAGTTAAGTTTGCATAAAAGGACAATGTCAATACATTGAAGAAAATAAAAATAAAGGTTCCAGTTGCCTTTGGGATTTGCTGGGAGTTTTATCTTTGAAAAAAATTCTTTCCCGTTTGTAATGCACTTGCCTTTAATACCAGTGGGGAATGCAGACAGAGTGCTCTGCAAACAAGGGAACAGCACGCACAAATGTAGCCACCTCCTGCTTTTTTGTGCTACTGGCTTCCCCACATGTTTCAGTTTCTCAAAAAGTCAGGGAAACTGCTGCACTTACTATAAGACCTCTATTTATGAATTACTTACTTAAAATCATTTTTCTCTTTATACAAATTTATGCAAGTGGCAGAGTTCAAACAAAACAGGTTGGTTTCGTGGAAGTCTGACTTAAAAAAATAAAAGCAGTTTAGGAGGAAAGAGAAGGCAACTTTCATGACACAGACACAAGGGAAGGAGAAATAAGAGTAAGCTATACCAAGTACAGGTAGTCACCTCATTTCTTTTAAGGATAAGAATCACACTGAAAATAATGTTCTAGAGGGAATTTAACTCCATAGGGGAGACAGGAAGAAAAAGAGAATTTCCATTATGATATGTTTCATAAGAAGAAAAAAAAACAACAACAAAACACCACCACCACCAAAAAAAATGACCAACACACCCCAACCAAGAATTGACAGTCTTTTAAGGCAAATTTATTACTTCTTTTAGGGTTAGTATCTTACCAGACAGTCACTTTAGCACTCTCAGACATATCCACAGCTTTGTTTCCACTCTTTGCTTTCTCATCTTGTGCTTTTCATCTTGTTCTATGGTACAAATTTCCAACCTCTTCTCTTTAATAAGCAAATACACCCACTGCAGATCTACCACCACACACTACCTTTCCTTCTTATTAACAGGCTGAAAAGTCTGTTGTTTATTCTTAGGTTTTCTAAGAGGCAGGTTAGTACATGTGTATATGCCCACACAACAAAAATATAAAAATTATGTATTTGTTAAAGATTAGAAATCCTTATTTCATAAATCCAAATTTTGAATTTTAGAAATGCAATAGATATAAACTAGTAGATATTCTATTACTACTGAAAGTACTACTACAATTAATTCTAAAAGCATGAGGCTAGCAAAACCTTAGATGCAGTCTTAAGTGTCTAAGGGTTGTAAAGCTGAGCCTGCTGTCACTTTATCCAATCACCTCCATTAGTCTGTGGAATCAGTGTAAAATCACTGCAATCCTATGGCAAGATGGTATGGTCTCTGTATCATTTGTCACAAGACATTTTGCAAATGTCCTTCTGTCACAAAAAAGACTATACAAAGCTGGCATCTAAAAGACTGTCTCTATACAAAAGGAAATGAAGGTGACGATTGGTACAGACAACATGCAAATACCTAATTCTGAGTAACTCCACCTGCAGGTATAGTCCAGACTACAACCAAATAGTTGTTGCCCCACATCAGTAGCCATCACACCTCCACGAGAGAGGTTGAGACTACAAGGATTTTGTCAGCAGACAAGTGAGCTTGTTGAAGGGGGTTTTAAAAGCCAACTGATGTCCTGTTGACAACCCAGATAGATACATCATCAGGTTTCTTCATCCCACTCTCACTAGTTGGGTGTAACTTGGGATAATCAGGGCTGATCCAGGAAGCAATCCTAGATTTTCCAGAGGAGCTCCATTTATGTTTGCATCAGTGCTGAAAGGGAACTGCTGCTCTCTGCTGGCCTTATCTCAATCATCATAATATATTTTAATTAAAGAATGCATCAAAGAATGTTGGAAATTAATGACTTCCTAGTTAAAAGGCTGCTCATCATTCAGTTTGAGGAATACATATAGCCCTGTAACTGTCTCTTTAAGGTCAACATTACATAGCCACAGATGCAGGATAGGAGCCAAAAGACCTGACAGTGAAGCCACTATGGAAATTTCCACTTCCAAAGGAGTGGAAAAGGAAGAAACCAAGGAGTTATAAGGTGTGATGAAAGGCACCACAAAAAGAAGTAGGAGCACTGTTACATAGTTAAACTATAGATGTGATCTCTTTCCCAGAAAGAGCGAAAGTCCTTCTGTGTCTGCTTAATTGCAGAGCAAACTCTTCCTAGCATGCTAAGAGTGGAATATGAGCTGTTTAAAAAACAAACCAAAAGACCAAACCCAAACACCAGCCCACCCCTACAACAAATAGTTGATGGGTTGTTTTTTTTAAAAAAAGGAGGTCCATCTAGAGCTATTGTTTTGGGGTAGTTCAGAGAGATACTGAATAAACATGCCTCAGTGCTACCTGGTGCCTGTACTACCATCCTTTTGTACGAGCCTACTATTTCCACTGCTTATTTGATTCCCTGGGGAGGTAAAGCAGCACTTCTTCCCAACCTTATTCCAGAAACACCACCCTGTGCCGCTGGCTACCTCCTCCATTCCTGGGCCTTACCTAGGCACAAACATAACAAAACTTAATTAACTGCAGTATCATCCCTGTGAGGGATGGAAATGTGTTTTATACATTACAGAGATTAATTTATACATATTGGTAGTTTAAGTAAGTGTGATATTTTGAGGCATTCCAGCAGCATATAGCTGGGCACACAAATCTCCCTGAAGCTCACCTCCACATGAGCACACATTAGATACAGGCCTCCTGCTTGCTGCAGCACTGCCCAAGACCACTCAGTCCACACATATTCCAACAAAACTACTACATCTGAGACTTCTATCAGGGCACAATAAGTCCCACAAACAATCCTTCCAAATCTTTCCTTCTTAAAGCCTAAAGGACACTACATGGTAGTGAAAAAAAAAAAAAAAAAAAGCACCATTCTTTCAGAATACAAGTTCTAGCAGAGAAGTAAGGCATGAAAAGGAGTTCAGGGATGACACCAGGGCTAATTGCCAGAGAGGAAAGAAAGTTTGCAACCACCACCACTGGTTACATGGCAAGCATTCAGGAATCAAAGACAGATAAGGTACCCACCATCGCACCTTCTGCAGAGATACAGCCTACCAATACCTTGAAAGAGGAAATCCACTGGGGCTTTGTTTTAATTCATACACCAGCTGAATTTAAAAGCTGTTGAATGGATACAGTAATGAATCAATGCTGAATACATAGCCCCTGGAGTTAAAGGGAAAACAAGTTATCAGATGAGAACAATGCTCAGTAAAGACAAGAGTAGTAGTGCTTGAAGTTAAGCGCCCACTTGGCAAGTAAGATACAGACAGCCAATGCTAAACAAAGCAGAAGGATAATGAGTAAGGTGGTTGTCATCGCTCTCACATCAGCGTGGCAATTACAGGCAGGACTCTGCTTTTGGGTTGCAAGTGGGAGCTCTGGTGCCCTTTGACTTCAGAGGCATTTCTGGTTCTGGCAGCTCAAATCCAAGGTTGCTGCCAATAAAAATTTGGCATATTATGACCTTTGAATTCTAAGGCTTAGCTTATGAGGCTGGAATCCAACCCCTGCCTCCCAGTTGCACACAGGCGGAGAACAGGACATGCAGGACTGTGTGAGGAGATACGCATTGCCAGCACCATGCTGGTTGCGGTTAATCATCCAGCCAAAAAGATGCAGAAGATGTCTAGCACATTTCCGTTTAAAGTAATTCCTGCCCAGATGCTGTGTTGTACAAATGTATATATGGGTGAGGGCTGCTGGGCAGGTCCCTGAGCTTGGTTTCTGTAGAAAGCCTGTGGGCAGATGAAGGCTCCTCCAGCCTTCTGGGCTTCAACCTCTGCTTCAGATGAGATTTTTGAGTCAATACAAAAACAAATAGATAGAACCACACTGAGCAATCAGACACTGAAATCTAGAAATCTGTCTGGAACTTCAAAACACCTTCTACATGAATGTTCATTAATGCTGAAGAGCCTGAACAGTCAATTGCTTGCTTAAGCACAGGTGTATCTCTTGCTGGGAAATCAGAGACAGTTTCAACTCCTGCACATAGAGCAATGCTCTGGAGGTGCTGCTCCACATGGGCTGT